AAAGTACCTATCAGCTAAGGCTTTTACCACTACCCCCACAGTAGAAAGTATCCTGGTTTTCCCTCAATAATCGGAGCTGGGAGCTGGATCACTAAGACTTGGAGCCGAGCTGAGTCACTGAATAAAGGGGCTGTACCACTGACTGAGCTGAGTCCTGTGTCTTACTGCCTACGATCCAGTCTCCCCGGGGGCGCTATCCTTCCGTCATCGACTCACAGAAATCCAGCTTTCGCTGTCCTCACACATCCCCACGTGATCCAGCGCCGGTGGATTTCGTATCTCGAGGGAGTGCACGGTGGAAATTGGGACGGAACCGACCGGGCCAGCCCCGGTAGCAGAGAGCCTCAGCGACGCGGTGCGGGATCCGCCGCACCGCAGGTGCACACAGGAGACGGCGCCACGCTAGCAGCTGGCGCCCCGAGATCCCTGCGCCCCCATTAGTTTTTTTCAAAAAGGAAAAAAGAAAACAGAAACCATATCCTCACTATTTAGAGGCAAGAAAACCTGGGACATCACAGCACAAATTCATATGTGCTATGTACTTTTTGCCAGTTTTGCTTAAAACATGGTCCTGAAGGTTAAAGACCCACCCCTCCCCTTTCCTGCAAGCCATCCCAGCCTCCCACCTTGATAAGATTCCACTGCTTTGCTGGGCAGGGGGTGATCTATCTCATGTCCCTGAGGTGGACATCTTTCCCTCTGATCTCTGACTGCAGTTCTAGTAATCTTATGACTTACAATGCAAGGGGAGGGGTAATCACCGTGATAACAAACAACATGGAAAATGACCTTTCTCTGCTTCTGGCTTACTAGTCTGGAAAATTCCTTCAGTATCAACCTCCTGTTTCCGAGATTTGAAACCTATGTAATCAGGGTACAGGGCTCTGGTTATCATAACTTTAGGCAACCCAGCTTCTCAACTTAGTGTCCTAAATACACAGCTGTGGTAACCTCTGGGGTGATTGTCTTGTGAGCTGATAACAACCTGCCTGTCAAGACTGACTGGCTTGTAGCAGTGTTGACATCACATATCATGAAGCCTGGGAAAGAGGAGACTATCAACTTAGTGTTGCCAGAGAAACAAAATATTGTTGTTTTTTCCCCCTAAGAAACAGCCATTGGAGGAGATATTTACCTGCACCTTAACTATGAGGCAGAGACACACTTGCAGATTCTTCTAAAAAAAATCTGTACAATCAGCTAGAAGAAAAAAAATCAACGTGTGGACCCCTGGGACCCACTAATGCAAAAATAAGTACTATGTTTCACATCCATTCTTTGGAAAAAAACAAACAAACCTGAAATAGTGAATGAATCCTGGATAAATACAACGAGGAGAGGGCCTCAGAGTGAGTGAAGGCTGCTGGGCAGGTCTTGAAACGTTTGCTAGCAAGGAGTCATCAGGGGAATTAGGAAAGGGAAAACACGAGGAAAGTTACAGCTCACTCAACAGGTAGAACGAAAGTTGGGAAGGCTGGATCTGAACACAGGGCACAAAGCCTTCGGAAGAGCTTGCCTGGGCAGGGATGGGATCGTGTTCCCTGCAGCCTTCCTGTGAGCTGTGTTGTACGTGGCCCATAACAGACATCAGTAAGCCACACTGAGCCGTTCAAGGAATGTGTCAATACAAGTCCTCAGGCTCAAGTCCTCAGAATTTCCAGCTTTGTTAATGCAATGAATTACGCTACCCATGCAAGCGATGCTGCTTGGCAGAACACGTGTCTGAAAGAAAGATGACCCACTTCTCCCCTTAGTATAGCAATGAGTCTGTGTACTGATATCTATGGAAATCCCACTGGAAAGGACTGGGGAAAGAACATTGAAAGGATGAGGGAGCAGTGAGTGGGGAACAGGGATGGAGGGGACAGGAAGAAAAAGAGCGGAAAGCTTCCAGAAAACCTCCGTTCCTCCCAATCCAAACATCTCCTAGAACTGTTTCTCCATGGGAGGAAAAGAAATTAAGATGGACTCAAATAGTAAAAAGTAACAGTAAAAAGGTTAGAACTTCCTAATTTGCACCAGATTAATAATAAATCCAGGTTTATTCTTAGTTATTTGATCAAGGGTCTACTACATAAACAGAATTCATGAGCAATTTAAACGTAGCCCTTGGTGGAGCGCCACTGCTCAGCCATATTTATTTTTCATAACAAAAGAGCATGCGCAATGCTAACCTGAAATCTCCGAAAGAGCTTCACGTCTGGACCATAAACTGTCCCCAGCCTGGAACCAAACCCCACAGCTCTTCACATCTTCCCTGATAGTCCTGTGTGTGTAATATGCATGCCCAAGAACATGTGTGTGGACGCCAGAGGTGGATGTGTGGTGTCCCGTGTCTGTCCCTTTTACCTTATGCCCCTGAGATAGAGTCTCTCATAGAACCGGGCTGGCAGTCAGAGATCCTCCTGTGTCTGTCCCACACAGTGCTGGGGTGGCAGGTACTCTGTTTATGTGGGTGTTAGAGATTTAAACTCAGCAGTCGTCCTCTGGCTCAGCCCAGCTGATGGGAACTGTCTTCAGGTGCCTGTCTCAGCCTTACTGGACAGAGTAAGTAACAGAATAAAGCCCCGGAATTTGTCTCCCCATTTGCTACTCTGGGATGACAATTTGCTACAATTGTTTTGCCTATAAAGTTAACAGGTCACACCTAACTAAGGAACAAATATCAGAGTTGCTAATAAGCCATACTATGAATGAAGCTAAAATATGTTGCACTCAAAAGGAATAGAAAAAAATTGAATCTTATTTGGTTCTGGGGCCTGTGTGAGGAAATTCACACCATTCTCCTCCAAAGAGAACTCCCTCAGGAGACGTGTGACAGAGAGATGGAATGGGTTGGCATTGCCTCCACTCCCCACTCCTGAGCACAAGCTTGCAGGCCTGAGGGGCCTGTCTGATGTGGGGAGGCACTTCCTGCCCCAGCCTAAGGCTCTTCTCGTCTCTCCGGTTTGCTTTTCCCCTTGATGTGGGATGTGCAATGTTTACTCTGAAACAGGAACAAGTCAGCCTGTGCCTTGGATTTCAGTTTACAAGGCTGACTTCATGTGTGCCCACTGTGTGTGTGTGTGTGTGTGTGTGTGTGTTGTTTCATAAGCTCTAGAGTAAAAACATAAGCATATTTAATGAAATTTTGTTTTGTTTTGTTTATCGAGACAGGCTAGCCTCAAATTTGCTATGTAGCCGAGGGTGGCCTTAAAATTCTGGTCCTCCTGCCTCTTCCTCTTCAGTGCTGGGATGTGTGTGTCACCACAGTTGGTTTTATATGATGCTGGGGATGGAACCCAGTGTCTCATGTATTCTAGGCAAGTATTTCTCCAATTAAGTTCCAACTCCAGCTCTATATAAAAGGATTTGGGGAAAGAAAAAGCATTCCAGAGACAAGCAACATTTAACAAATTATATGAGTGTTTTCTGTGAAAATACATACTGCTTTTCGTTTGAGAATGTAGTCCAGTCTCCAACGATTTCCTTCGACCACGGGACGCTTCAGGAAGATTTCTGGACTTAACCTGAAATCATAAAAGCAAGATTTCAAGGAACTGAAGCAAAGATTAAGTTCTGAGTGTCACAGAAACCAAAGGCACTGTAGGCCAAATACCATCGCTCTGCTGGGTCAGCGCTCTGCTGTGAGTCCACAAGCAACTTCAGATGGGAAACAGAAACGTTCCAAACAAAACAATTCAAAATGGGCTGCCTTAATCTCAGCATTTGGAAATGGAGGTGGAAGGATCAGAAGTTCACAGCATTCTTGACTCTAGAGAGTTTGAGGCCAGCCTGAGCTACTAAGACCCTGTCTCAAAAACCTTCATCTTGATGGGGGTTTAGCTCAATGAGAGAGTGTATGCTTAGCATGTATGAGGCTCTGAATTAAATTTTCAGCACCAAAACAAAACAAGCAAGGAAAAAGAAAAAACAACCATCTCAGTTTCTCCCTTACACACACACACACACACACACACACACACACACACAGGTGTCACTGACTGTCTACCAGCTTCTCCACCTCACCTTTCTGGCTGGCAGAGCCCATCTCCTACTATTGCATGTTCTGTGGTAGTTGTTGCTGTTTTTAATATTTTATTTATTGATTTAATTTTATACATATGAGTGTTTTGCCTGCCTATATTTAAGTGCACCATGTGTGTGCAATGCCTGTAGAGGCCAAAAGGGGGTGCCAGATTCCCTGGAACTGGAGTTACAGATGGTTTTGAGCCACCATATGGGTGCTGGGAATCGAACCTGGGTCCTCTGCAAGAACAGTCAGTGCTCTTAACTGCTGAGCCATCTCTCCAGCCCCTTTTAAAAAAATATTTTATTTATTCTTATTTTACATGTATGAGTGTTTTGTCTCATGCACATAAGTGCACCCATGTCATACAATGCTACCAGAGGCCAAAACAGAGGGTGTTGGATCCTCTGGAACTGTGTTAAAGACAGTTGTTAGTTGCCATGTGGGTGCTGGGAACTGAACCTGGGTTCCCTGGAAGAACAGCAAGTGCTAAGCTATCTCTCCACTCCTTGTTTTTGTATGGTGATTAGGTCTCACTATGTAGCCCAGGCTGGTCTAAACTTGCAGCAATCCTCCTGCTTCAGCCTTCTGAGTGCTGGAATTACATGCAGGAACCACACACCTGGCTGGTGCCTTTTCTAAATCCCAGTTTCCAGGACTCCTGTGTAGTAGAGCACAATGTGATTTATCTTGAACAATGAGATACAGGACAAGGTACATGAGGTTAACAAGAGCTTTTCCCCTTGGTGGAACACACATACCCCTGCTTCCTGCTACAGCATGAATGTTGTGTGGGCAGGATGCTAGGAGGGGTGTAGTCAGAGCTAAATTCTAAGGGGAAAAACAGAACTCTGAAATCACAAAACCACTTCCCTAATCTTAGGACTGTCCAACTTTGGGTTTCATTCTGCTTTGGCAAACTGAAAGCATTCTGGCTGACACGTGCCGGCACACACTGACTTGCAGTTCCAGCAGCAGTGTCTGTGGGAGCCTGGGGCTTTCTGAGCAGGCTCACCTTCCGCAAAAGTGAGGGAGATCCCCTGGGTCCTTTTGTCTCAGTAAGTAGCTCCAAAAGGAGAAAAGAACAGTGAGTCACACTCTCCCCTTAGGCTGAGTTCTGATGGCAATTCAGGTTAAAGCTGAATCTGATGTAGTTTCTCTGTGATGAGGAAAAACAAAACAAAACAAAAACAAAACCACCTCTCCTCTGAAAGTCTGATAAAGCAGGAGGCAGATTAACAGCTCATAGCGTTCCGAACTGGAACAAGGGCCTGCTAGAGAGTTGCCTACACACGGGATTTATAAGAGCTAGAGATTAGAAAAAATAATGTTCTATTTCATTCAGTTATGTATATATGAAAAATAACTCTGGTAGTGGAAAGATTGTAAGAGCAGGAGTTGGAAAAAGCTGCTTCAAAGTAGCATCTTCGACCTAACAGGACTCTTATACTCATGAGCGCACAGCAGCAGTGGTCGCTTGCACAAGACCTGCTAAGAGCTGCACAGGATCAGTGCATCACCATTTCAGCACGGTTGGGTGCAGGGCTCACAAAGCCCCTGGCTAAGGAGCAGTTGATGGCTGCTGGGGGAAACAGTCTTGTTTAGGGGTGGCCCCTGGTCAGCTAGCCATGCCCCAGCTGATAGCCTTGTGCACACAGAGGCAGCATTAATTAGACTCAGTGGGTTCAAACAGGGGACATGAATTTGGAAGGCAGACATGATGGGGGTCTGAGAGGAATTAGAGGAGGAAGGACAGGGTCAGGATGATCAAACATATTGTCTACGTGTATAAAATTCTCGAGGAATAAATAAAAATACACATCAAAAGCTTAAATTTCTATTAAAAATTTTATTTAAAAATTAAAATAAACAAAAATTAAAAAATTTAGAACTGGGCAGGCATGGTGGTATAGGCCTTTAGTTCCAGCACTCTAGAGTCAGAGGCAGGAGGATCTCTGTGAGATGAGATTGAGGCCAGCCGACTCTCCATAGCAAGTTCCAGGCCAGCTGGGGCTACAGGGAGACCTTGTCTCAGCAAAACAAAACAAAACAAATATTGAAAATTAATCAATGTAATTCACAGTCACTGAAAAAAGGGAAAAGAATAATTAAAACTAGTGCAAAAATGCAGCAAAAATTCAATGTTCATTCATAATAAAAACTCTTTAAAAAGTACAAATAGAAATGAACTTAATAAAGAGCACATATTAAGGATGCATCTAATATCATATAGTGCTACAAGAGACTGAATTCTCTTCTTTTAATATTGAGGAAAAGGTCTGGAGAATTATATTATCACATCTGTTCAACATTTGACAGTGACTCTAGCCTATGTGATAAGGCATGAGAATAAAATGTAAAGCCAACCAATCTGAAAGGAGGACAGTGAAACTTCTTAATAGGTCACATTGTCGTATATGTGGAAAAATCCTAAGGAATCTACCAAAAGGCTGTCAGCACCAGTAAGGGAATCTAGCAGTGTCGTAAGATGAAAGTCTTTACAAAAATCTATGGAATTTCTAGTCCTTCACGTTCTCAGTGAATAAACAGAAAATGAATGTTAAGGTGTCACTTCCAACAGGACTCAAAAAATATGAAGTGCTTACAGATTTAACAAGTTGTGTGTATAAGACCTCTACACAGAGAGGCACAAAACACTGACAAGAAAAATGAGATAAAATTTAAATAAATGGAGAACAATGTAATGTTCATGAGTTGAAAGCTCAATGTTATGGCAGAAATGTAATTTGAAGTATCACATAATTGGTGCCAAGTTTATTGGTTTATTTGGAGGGAAAATCTGGAAACAGAGGAACCCCAGAGAGAGATTCAGGCCTAATAAGAAAGAACAGGGATTTTCTGCAGGGGCTGGGGCAGCAGCAGAGAGTGTCTACAGGGAAATTTGCTCTCCATTTGAAATAGTAGCGATCCCAAGAGAGTTACTTAAGTCCCACAGCTTGGGTCTTTACATTGCAGTGACCATAGAAATCACATGTCAGAACAGGGCGACTTAAAACTCACTTTCCAGTAAGCATATTAAAAGGGGAAACTGTGTGGAATAAAATTGTTGAGAGATCATGGGGAGGGAGGAGCCCGGGCAAGCAGTCCCACAGAGTTGTTTACATCTCCTAGCTCATCCACAAGCTGTCCCTGTGTGGATTTGACCTACAATTAGAGGGATGTGAGGAACTGAACTAAGGTTACCTCCAAGCCCCAGACTAACCACTAGGTGGCGCACAGCAGATGAAACAGGGATGCAAAGGGTTTAGAAACAAAGCCCACACCTCTGGTTACAGCCACACCTCTGGAAGCCTGGTTGGAGCTCTCTGCCTAAACCGAAATGAGTCAATGGCCTGCTAAAGTAAGCACTCTCCATAAGATTTAAATAAGATTTAGAGTCTTATAACATTATATAAAATTTTCCTAGAGTACAGTAAAAAAAGTACAGGACACACAAAGAACTCAAAAAAGTCTCAACTTGCACAGCAACAAATGTCAACAAGGTGATGTGCTGTGGTTTCCACTACATAGTTTAAAATTTTAGTTACATTATTTATTTATTTATTTATTTATTTATTTATTTATTTATTTAGAGAGTGTGTGTGTGTGCATGTGTGGGCACACTGGGACATACTTGTGGGGGTCAGATGACAACTTGCAAGAGTCGGTTCTCTCCTTCCACCATGTGGGTCCCAGGAGTTGAACTCAGGTTGTCAGGCTTGGCAGCAAACGCCTTTACCCATTGATGCATCTCGATGGCCCCATTATCTAGTATGATTCCTTGTCAAAGATTATAAAAATGTTACAGCATGTAAGGGTGAACGCTATTGAAATGAACAGAAAGATTATAAAACAGTCTCACCAAAGAAACAGAAGAGACAGAGAAACAAATAGAAAATTTCACAATGAAAAACACAATCTCCATGAAAATAGAAAAACAAAATACCAAACCTGACTTCATAGGCTCCATTCCAGAATGAAGGAATCAGAGAAAACAAATCAGTACACATGCAGGTCACGCAATAGAAATTATCCAGTATGAGACCTGGAGAAGTCTCAGTTGGTGAGGGTGCCTGCCACCCAGCCTGGCGACCAGAGTTCAACCCTTGGGACCCACAGGCTGTCCTCCGACTTCCACATGTGGTAGCCATGGCACATACACATGCACACACAAAATAAATAAACCAGTGTAAATTTAGAAAAGGAAGCTACCAGTATAACAAAGAGAAAAAATGCTTTTAAACATGGAGAGAGCCCGGGAGCCTGTAGGGGAACGTGGAAAGGATGTGCTCTTGAGTCACTGGGGATTCAGAAGAAGACTAATTTTTTTTTCAAGTCAGAATAAATAAATGATGGTAAGAATTTCTCATTTTGGCTAGAGACAGAAGACTACATATCCCAAAATCCCAGAGTTCCCCCAAACGAGACAAACCCAAACATCACAACCAAATTTCTGAAAACTAAACACAGAGGGAAATTTTTTTAAGGCATTTAGGAAAAAAATAACATATTACTGAAAATTCTCATCAGAAGCCCTGGGAGTCAGAATAAAATAAAGCAACAACTATGAAAATAATGTATAAAGACCAAGACCACAGAGTTGGCTCAGTGGTTAAGAGCTCTGGCTGCCCTTGCAGAGGACCTAGGTACCATTCCCAGTACCCACATGGCAGCTATGAACTGTCTGTAACTCTAAGGGATCCAACACCCTCTTGTATCCACTATGGGCACTGCGTGACATGGGTGCACTTACATACATGTAGGCAATACACTCATACACATTAAATAAAAATTTAAAATTTAAAAAAGAATGTATGATTGTATGATGATCTACAACTAAGACAACAATGGAATTTAAAAGAAAAAAAGGAAATTCCCAGCACCGTGAATAAGAAGGAAGTGAACAGGGTGGGGAGGAGGAGAAGGAAGGGTTAGGGTTAGGGGAAGGGGAAGAGAAGTGGGGGGAGGAGAAGGGAGAGGAGAAGGAAGAGTAGGAGGGGGAGGGGAAGGAGGGAGAGGAAGAAGAGGAGGAGTGAGAGGAGGAATTCTAAAAATAGCAAATATTAAAAAAATCACATGAAATGTTCATTGTGAAAAGATCTTGCTGATAAAAAGTAAAACCATGATAAGATGCTACTACAGACTCTCTGGCATAAGGGCAAAAATACCAAGAATGATCTGCACCCATCAAGAGGGAAGTTTATTGTGGAGGTTTCATTTCAGGATGTGCTTTTTATAGTGTGTGATTCAAGAATGGTACATGCTCTAAACATAGATGCTTCCAGACAAAATACTAACCACCAATCTGTGATAAAAATCTCTTCCTCTGCCTCTTCTATGGCATTTGCTATATCTTCAAAGTAACCTTTGGCATTCACATACCTGAAAGATTAAAAGAAAAAAGGAACAAAGTTTTTATCTTTTTATAAAACAAGACAAAACAGAAAAACAAACATATCCCAGGGTAAAGTGAAACATGGGGTACTGCCTGGCCTACATCACCATCACTTGACTTTGTGTGACTGAAACAAGGATTAAAACATGACCTTGCCCTCTGTCTGTCACCAGGACGGACAGTAAGAAGACAGCCAAGCAGCCAAGCAGTTATTAATCAAGGCGCACCTTATGGGGTACCCTTATCATGTGAGGTTTTCTTCTGAGCCTGAAAACAGACCAGACTCAAATCCATGGGTACAAAACCTCAATGATTCAAACTTCCATTTGTGCATTTCAAACATATATGAAGCTAATTTTTGCTTTTTTCTTTCTTCTCTTTAGATCAGGTCTCACATAGGCTGGCCACTAACTTGCTGTGCAGTCAAGGATAACCAATGCTAATCCTTCTGTCTCTACCTCCCAATTGTTGGGATTACAACCCCATGCCAATACACCCAGCTTTATGAGGTACTAGGGGATCTAACCCAGGGATTCATGCACATGAGGCAAGCACTCTACCTGCTGAGCTATCTCCCCAGGCCTAAAGTTAGTTTAAAAAATACCAAATTTCTGGGGCTGGAGAGATGGCTTAGCGGTTAAGAGCACTGACTGCTCTTGCAGAGGACCCGGGTTTGATTCCCTACACC